GAAGACTGTAGCAGCTACGACCTTGACCTCTCAGGGTCTGTCTCTTATACACATCTAGATGTGTATAAGAGACAGGCGTGGGGGTATAGGGAGCCTCTATGGGGGTGTTGGTGGGGTTATTAGGGGTTCTAGACCCAATTATTTATTTATTTCTCCAATACTTTTAAAGCAAGCGGGTCTCGCGTGGCCGTCCCAAGCGAGACCCCGATTCCTGTGTTGGGAATGCGCCGGGCACGAACAGACGGGCCCACCGGGCAGTCCAAACCGAAACTCGGTTATGACCCGCGACGGGAAGTTCGTGGAACGGCCCGTCAGCAGGTGCAAAGCGTGGCCTACGCGGGGCACCAGGAGATCGGTAGAGAGGCGGGCCCGTATACGTGCAGAGGTGGATCAAAGCACGGCAGGTAGGAGTGTGAGGAGGTACAGGAGGAGGAGGAGAAGCGGGAGGAGTGGGAGGAGCAGAAGGAGCAAGAGGAAGGACGGGGGGAAGAGCTGGTGAAGCAACAGGGGGAGGAGCGGGAGGAGCAGCAGGAGAAGGAGCAAGAGGAGGGACGGGGGGAAGAGCTGGTGAAGCAACAGGGGGAGGAGCGGGAGGAGCAGCAGGAGAAGGAGCGAGAGAAGGAGAGGGAGGAGGACGAAGTTGTGGTGGAGCACCGGGAGGTTAGTCTCTCTCTCTCTCTCTCTCTCTCTCTCTCTCTCTCTCTCTCTCTCTCTCTCTCTCTGTGTGGCTAGCCACATGGAGGGCCTTTTTCTTTTTTTCCCGTATGAGATGGTTATGGCAGGATCTTTGTCAGGTTGTTTGGCGGAGGAGCGGGAGCAGGACCGCGAGCAGCGGGAGGAGTGGGAGGAGCAGCAGGAGGAGGAACGGGAGGAGGAGCAGGAGGAGGAGCGGGAGGGAAAATGGGAAGGGACGGAGGAGGCGAGGAAGGAGGAGTGGGAGGAGGGGGAGGAGCGGGACGAGGAGCGGAAGGAGTGGGAGGAGGAGTGGCAGGGGAAACGGGGAGGGGGCTAGGAGCAGGAGAAGGAGCGGGATCTCAACAGCATCTGCTCTGGATCCTGCTGTTATGATAATAACAAAATCATCAGCATATCTTACATAGAAGAGTCTTTTGAAACCCGGATCCATTGGATCTGAGGAAGTCTTCGTGGGTTTCATGTGACTCATGTCACTTCAGCTAAAACCCAAAATGAAACTTCCATTTTGTGGAGCGGGTTTTTACAGAAAGAAGTTAGCCTCATAAAAAGCTATGAAACACAGACCTGAAGAAATTGAAACACAAGTGGTTGTTACCAAGGCAGCCCCTCGTGAACCAAGAAAGCGACCAAACATGCCTGCTACTAAACTATCGAGTAGAGGTAAGACAGAAAGAAACGGCTATGGCGAAATTCGTTTACGCACCACACTTAAGAAGGCTGTTTGTGAAAACAGCTGGAGATTTACAGAGAATTTCATTATTGGTATATTTCTGAGACCTATACAAACAAAAAGAGAAGCTACATCTGCAGAAAAGAATAGAAAACGTAGTGCACCTAAATAGATAAATAGCAGTATTAATACGGAAGTGTTTCGAGCATCCCAAACCCAAAAGGTTCCCCACATAGGTTTTCCCCAAAAACTTCAGTAACTAGAATGAAGAAGGTGAAAAGCTTACGAATGTGGTTTTGAGGGCGGTAGTAAGGTCACCTATAGTTATCAAAGTGTGCGACCGAACTTCACACTAGTGGCATATGGCTTACCTTCAACTGGCAACAGTAGAGGAAACAAAGAATGCCATAACAGCACATTCATAGAGGCTCGAAGAGCAGACGCGAAGCATCTGTGTCCAGCATGTCTTGCTGCACTTCGTGCCTGGAGCTGTGCTGCAAGCCCCCTGGCGCTTATACGAGATGAGGCAGCCACAGGAGGAGGAGCAGGAGCAGGAGGAGCGGCAGGGGAAACGGGAAGGAGGTTAGGAGCGGGAGGGAAAACTGGGAGGGGGTTAACGAACGTGAGGAGGAGCGGGAGGGGAAACAGGAAGGGGCGGAGGAGGCACAGGGGGAGCAGCGGGCGGAAGGAGCAGGAGGAGGTTAGTGGAAGAAGGGGTGGGGGAGGAGGGGTGGATAGGGACCCACTCTCTCTGTCTCTCTCTCTCTCTCACACACATACCCAATCGATAAATTTCATTGACAAAATGGTGATTGATTGACTGGTTTTTCGTTTTCTGTTTGGAAAAATCGGGCAGGTGTTGATTGATTGACTGATTGATTGATCGATCGACTGATTGATCGGAGAAAATAGATAAAAAAAAAGATCGCCCAGTTCTCCTTTTCTGTTTTTTAACTTTTTTTTTTTCAATCAATCAATCAATCAATCAATCAATCAACCAATCAACCAATCAATCGATTGATTCATTGATTGATTGATTGATTGGGGAAGAAAAAAGGAAAGGGCAGCGGGAGAAGGAGCGGGAGAAGGAGCGGGTGAAGGAGCAGAAGGAGGCCCAGGAGGAGGAGGAAGAGCGGACGAGGAGCAGGAGGAGGTGTGGGAGGAGCGGGAGGAGCAGGACGAGGATGGGGGGGGAGCAGGAGAAGGATGCGGAGGAGGAAGAGGTGCAGCAGGGGGAGGAGGAGGAGGAGGAGCAGTGGGAGGAGGAACAGGAGAAGGAACGGCGGGAAACGGGGAGCGGGAGTTGACAAACGCGCGGGAGGTGGGTACAAAAAGCGGAAGGAGGGAACCGTGGAGAGGGGCGGGGCGGGCTCTCTCTCTCTCTCTCTCACACACACACACACACACACACACACACTCCTCTCCCCCTCCTCCACCACCGTCCCCTTGCCCTCCCCCCCCCACCCAGGAGGAGGAGCAAGAGCGGACGAGGAGCAGGAGGTGTGGGAGAAGGAGCGGGATGAGCAGGACGAGGATGGGGAGGAGCAGGAATGGGATGGGGAGGAGGAAGAGGAGCAGCAGGGGGGGGAGGAGGAGGAGGAGCAGCAGGAGGAGGAAAAGGAGAAGGAACGACCGGAAACGGGGACCAGGAGTTGACAAATGTGCGGGAGGTGGGTACAAAAAGCGGAAGGAGGGAACCGTGCAGACAGGCAGGACAGGCTCTCTCTCTCTCTCTCTCTC